CCTCTGTTTGACAGTAATTACAACAATATAAATTTATATCAATAAAAAGGTTGTCACATATGGCGCAAATAATGTATCTGAATCTAACCGTACGTATATGAAGTTACACATGCACTATTGGACAAGTGGGGAACAGTACTTTATGCATATGACTGCACAGTTTTGACAACATCTGCCATATTATGCCAACCCGTGTGGGTATAATATGAGTCTCTTTTCTACAACCATTGTTAAACCACTTCAAAAAGGAGGAGGTTCTCAATTCGAGTGTTTTTTTTTAATGTATGTCACGTGATATCTTGGCAGATTGTGAAGCAATTTTGATGATTCTTTTTTGTTAAATAGGTTATACTTTAAAGGTTGTCCGATATAAATTGGAGAAAAAATTTCAATTACTACAATTGTAATTTTTCATACTATTAATATTTTTATATATTATTTTTTTTATAAATAACTTCTTTTTTAAAAAATTTGAAATATGTTTTTACTTTTTGATAAAAGTAATAATTATCTGCTTCCCCAAAAATGTGTTTTTCTTCGCAACTCAAAGTCTGCTTTATGTAGCACATTATACGGGTAAAAAATTACCTATACAGCCTTACGTATGTGCCATGTATGACAACCTTAAATGTTTGAAAATTTAAAAATCACAGTCACATTCACCATTTTCATAATATCAAACTTTTTTGCTGAGTTCTATAATTTAAGATACTTTTATATTGTAGTTTCTATCATCGAGATCAACATTAATAATTTTACAGACCATGGACACCTGCAGCCAACTTCGAACAAGGAAGGCTACAGGTGTGTTGTCACCTCTGACCATCTCAGGACCAAGATAAAATACACAGCCTGTAACTTAGGGATGTGAAAAAATAATCGATTTTCATATTAATTGATTATTTTTTTTATAATCGATTTTTCGAAGTCGATTTTTTATAATAAAAATCGATTTTCAATAATTCGATTTTTAGGTAAATTACGCGTTTCAATCGATTTTTGTAATCAGAGTCATCTGTGCGATGGATGTAAAAACGTGAAGTAAGTTCAATAACATAAATAAGTCAATCAAAAGACGTGTATGTAAAACAGTTTCGCTTTTCGTATGTTTTCATCAGGTTTCTTCCTCCGCTAGGAGTAAAAGTATTCTGTGGTTTTCTTTCTTTCTTTGGTTAGTGTAAACAATTATATATAAACAATAAAAATGTCTTGTGAAACGCGTAAAAGTGACTGACAGAAGTATTTTATAATCAAAACATGATAGCGGCCAACACGTCAATAGGCAAAAATACTGAATTGGATCTATATATTGCGGCACCACTATCAAATCTCAAGGCAGATGCCCTCAATATATGGAGAAGCTCTGAAGGAACTTTCCCTAAACTAACCGAATTGGCTTTTAAACACCTCTCAGTAATGGCCAGTTCCGCGCCAGCCGAAAGATTATTTTTGAAAGCGGGAAATATTGTCAGGAAATAACGAAACCGTATTTTGGGAAAGAGACGAAGAAAAATTTTGGTGAAATGATTATTTTTAAAGTCTTTAACTGAAAATTCATGGCAATATTTTTTTTTTACTTTTTATGTTTACACAAGTTTAAAAAAAGATTTGTCTTGTATTTTAGTTTTGAGATCAAAAGGTTGTCGTCGGATTATTTATAATTATATTTTTATTTTATTTTCATTCTAATCCAATGTAAATGATACTGAACATTAGTGGCATAATGATATTTTGTTTGTTCTAACTTAGTTTAAAAAAAAACTATCGTTTACTAAAATTATGGTTTCTTAATGATTTCTGATATTTACGCGAAGACTACACATTAAATGAAATTAATTTTTACGGATTTGATCACGCTTAATTTAACTTTTTAATTCCTGACGTTTCGGGTGCTTCACAGCACCCATGGTCACTGGGGGAACTGAGGTCTTTGACGTCCAGATGTCATAGTTAGCCTGGCTAAATTCAGTTTTTAAATATTAATTTTTGGTCCGATTTACGCAGAATGAGCTTACAGTATCTTGAAGTCTTACAGTGGTATGCTTGGGTTTGGATTTAATTTTATTAATTATAGGATGCCAAGCAGATGGCAGCACCCATCCATCTTCTCTATTGAAATTAGGATGTTTTTTAATTTCGATAGCCTAGCGAGTCATCCTTGGTAGGAATCGGTGTTCTTTTGCGAGGATTTGTGGTTCAACTATGACATAAGGACGTCAAACACCTCAGTCCCCTCTGTGACCATGCGTGCTGTAAAGCACCTAAAATGTCGGAAATTAAAAAGTTAAATTAAACGCGATAAAATCCGTAAAACTTAGTTTAATTTATCGTTTCTGTTTATTTTGGTTGTAATAAATTGTTAAATGGCACTGAACATTTGTGGCAGTAATTATTTTTAGTTTTTATTGTTCAAAGTGATATGTTAAAAAATTGTTCTGTAGTTTATTTCTAAACCAGAAGATTATTTTTCGAATAAAATTTTTTTTTCGCGAAAATCGATTATTTTTTATTAAAAAAATCGATTATTATCACAAAGCAAAAAATCGATTTTTTTTATTAATCGATTTTTTTCACTCTATGTCATCCGTACTGTAACTGCACTAGGCTTGGGTGAAAATATCGATATATCTTAATATCGATATTTTCGTCAGAAATATATCGATATATATATCATCGATAGTTTTAATCGCGATATATCGCTAAAGTATCGAATTCGTATCAATTTCTATATATTATAAAAGTTGTATTAGTCGACAGTATTAAGGAACAAAAGCAGCTACAAAAGACTTCCATGTGCTATTGTCGTTTTAGTTTCATCGTCGAACTATCAGTAATAACGTTTTGGGCCTTAACCTAGTCTTTGCGTTGTAGCATGGTGCGAATGACAGCTCACGCCTATGAATATGTCATACAGATATTGTCGTATTTCATGGACGGGTACCGCCTACTTACCATAGTTATGTGTAACGCTAAACTATGCCATGCCATAACGAACAACCACACACTATTAAAAATCGGTTTTGAAATAAATCGAATATATAAAAATCACGTAAATATATATAGGAATTAGAACTAATCGTTCAACAAATTCTGATTTACGGAAACAAAACGCACAAGACGAATATGCAGTGTTTCCGATGCATGGACGATAAATTATTCGTTGGCGGCTCAGGCAAAAAAATAATTATAAAGCAAATTGTACATTGTATCAAAAAGACTTTATCATAAATCATGGCGGCCAAAATGTCTACAAGAAACTTATTTTTATTTAATTAGATTTGTAAACCAAATTTTCAATTATTTTTACCTTCCGTCCCGATACTTGGCCCATTCGAACTGGCAAAACTAATACACATATAGCGAAAGGCGCTAGTACTCGTACCTTGAAAAGCTGCTGGTGCAATCAACGCTGTACTGAAAATTACAGTTGATGGCAGCCATTTTATTTGTTCAAATTTCAATATGAATGTTGCAATCAACATGAAATAGACGATTATTTTTATTTTCAAATTAATACATAGTATAATCTATACATTGAAGTGTCTGTTTCTAATATCAAAATAACAGCCTTTCACTAAATACATATGAAAGTATATATGGTATCTCTAACAAAAAGACAAAAACAATTTTTTAAATGTTTGTCTGTCTGTCTGTTTGTTACGGCTTATAGCTGGCACTGGCAGATAGCTAATGTTTGAGGACTAACACAGGCTAATTTTATTTTAGAAAAATAAATTAGGATACCGCGCAAAAAAATTAAAACCCATGAAATCCAATCGTAATAAATACCAAGCGGGACAGGTCCGGGAACAGCTATTATGAAACTATTATATCATAATTATTGGTATTAATATTTAACTTAATTTTACATGCATTGTAGTATATAAAGAAATATATGTTTCGGTTTTAATTTTTATATCGATAGCTCATCGATAATTTTTGCTTTGCTTTGTGTATCGTTAATCTTCTTTTTTAAATCAATTTAACATTGTTTCATCTCTAGACACGCCAAAAGTGTAAGCTGTCACCCAACCCACACCATGCTATAACGCAAAAACTATAGTGCATCACGCAAAACATGACGATATATCGATATTTATCACGCGATATATATCGATACTGTTCAAAATATCTATACAATATATATCGATATATTTTTTCATTTGCAAACCCCTAAATTACACTAGGCCATATTACATTTACTATTTACTGACGCTTCCGTCAACACATTTTTTTTTATTTCATTGACCTTATTTCTTATAGGGTACGGCCTGAGTGAAAGGCATACAAAAATACGAATGTTATATAATGTAAGCTTACTTGTCAGTATAAATGAAATATTAAATATTAACTTTTTATCATTATGGTTGGTAACGATAATAACTTTTCTGCCACCAAGGCGGCGCCACTTGGAACGAGATGAAATATTTTGACAGATCTCATGGCTTGAAGTAACATTGTTAGAAAATTGTAGATTTTAATGTCTCTTTCTGATTTATTAGTTATATTTTTTATTGATTAGGTAACAAATGGATAAAACAAACAACGGATATTCCTAAAAATAGAATAATTAAAAAAGATTGAAAATGTTAAAAAAAAACATGCCACTGAGGCATTATTTTTGTGTTTATACAAACCCTCACTTTTATTTAAAAAAAAAAAACAACTGTTCACACTGTGTGAACATCCATGAAACAAAAAGGTTACCTCAGTCCCAACTAGCGACATCTAGTGAACAGAAGATTATTAGGCGTCATTCATACCATTGTTATAAAGTTGTTTATATAAAGACGCGTTAAATTCCGTTATTTTGGATGTAGTTTGGTAACATTAATAAGCCCTGGCAGTGTGTTTTGTATATGGTAACAAAAGCACAAAGGATCTAACTCCAGTGTTACCATTAACAGAGTACACAAAAGAGATAGCACTTTGCCGACTAAACTCTGAATCACTGGCTCTATAGAAAAATTAATTTGCCACCCCAATCTAGTCCTTTAGTTTTATGCTTCAACCATAATTGCTTTTTTTGGTTTCTTTTTTCTTAATGTGTTAATGAAACTCCTAATTTTGCTTGGTTTCTTTTGTTTGCCAGTGCTTATTTGACTCACGTTGCTTAATGATTTACTGTCATCGAGTGGTATTTTTTTAATTTCGCAACTATCAAGATCAGACATAGAGATACTCTTTGTTGTGGGTATACTTGGCAACTCTAAATACGGGGGTTTATTTGGAGTGTAGCCGTTCAAATTTTGTCTCGATTCGAACATACTATTTGATGACACTTCTGATATATTGACTGTGGAATGGTTGGAGCTTGTGCTGTTTAACCTGAAAATAGTAGAAATATAAAGTTTCTTAAAGTTATATACAACTAAAGAAAGCTCACTTTAAATTTTTTAAGATCTACATAACCATATAAATGATCAATATAATCAAGGATTCATTATCTCATATCTCGTAAGTGTCTTAATACTTGACAGAGGTAAATGAGACAAGTGGACAGCATATTCCTGATAACAACTCGAAATAATAAAAAAAACTATGGTTAATGATTTCTGATATTTACGCGAACACTACACATTTAAATAAAACTAATTTTACGGATTATATCGCGTATATTTACTTATTTCATATTCCCGACGTTTCGGGCACTTTTTAGCACCCATCGTCACGGGGGGACAGTCCCTCCGTTTATAGTTATACGCGATAATATCCGTAAAATTAGTTTTATTTAAAAACTATGGTTGTCAACCTGCCTGCCAAGTATGTCAAATGTGCAAAGGCAACTTCCTTTTTACATAGGAGGATGCCAACAAGAATGTCCGTTTGCCTGTGACAAATATTCCTCTTAGAAGGCAATCCTATCTATTTATCTAACTATTACAGCCTATAAAAGGTCACAGCTGAACATGGGCCTCCTCCATAAATTTACTCATAGGGGAGGGAATTTTGCCATAGTTGTCACACTTCCAAGCTCTTTCTAATTAGTTTTGTGTGATTAATTGTATAACATACATGATTGTAAGCTGTTATTTAAAATAAAAAGTACCGCTGGGTTTCTTGCTGGTTCTTCCTAGGACAGAGATTTCTTTTCGAATCAGTGGTAATTTAACAAAGGAGTGACTATCAATAAGTATTATTTACCATCTATATTGAATAAAAAAGTTTCTGTTTCTGTTTCTTGGCGGGCGGGTCGGCAAACACAGTTTTTTATAATTTTGAGATGTTATAGGGAAGATGTTGCTGCCCATATCCTATTTCAATTTCACTCTGTCACCTGTTATGACACCCACGGCATGATATAGGGGGCAACCTATGAGGGATGCCTATTTTCAGCAATTGACTTTGATAGGCTGTAATGTTTCATATATGAATGATTAGCTGATCTATAACAATAATTTAAAATTATAAATTTTGTACAACCGACTTCAATATAAATTATTAAGAATAACTCAAAAACTTGATCAAATTTATATGGGACCACATAAGAAGCACCAGTTTTCAAATAAAAAAAGAATCATCGAAATCGGTTCACCCAGTAAAAAGTTATGAGGTAACACACATAATAAAAACATACAGTCGAATTGAGTACCGTCTCCTTTTTGAAGTTGGTAGAAAATATACTAAATTTAAATTCATTTAATAAAATATGTATTAATATAGTTTAATTAATAAAAGTTCATAAAATTGTTGACATACCTGGGTAGATTGGTTAGTTGGAGGGAATGGCTGAGTTTCTGCCAAAAGTCATAAGGCGCTTTATGACCAGGTGGACTGTAGTATAGCTTGTGGTAATAGGTCAGCTGCATCGGTAACTGGCAGTCGCGGTACATGAGCGGAATAATCTTTAGTTGTTTCTTCTCTGTAAAATTAATAAAGAATAATGAGTTGTGTAAAATTTTCTTTATAAAGAAAGGGGAGTATGTGAAAGTTCAAAGTCGCTTAGCAAGCTATGGAGAGGGCTATGCTCGAAGTTTCTTGATCCGACTTCATGATGAAAATATCCACAGTAGAACCAGAATACTAATTTTTTTTATAGGATAAGGGTGACATGCGAGCACACAGTCCACCTGATGGTAAGTGGTTGTTGTGGCCCATGGACATCTACGTCTATCCTCGTATGCGAATCAAAATGCAGATGCATTGTCAGCCGTGAAGACTAAGATGGAAAGCCTCTTTTCCAGTAAAAGGGGTCTCCGGTTCTCTACAATCACCATACGAAACAGCAGCATTAAGCTGCTATTTTACGCTGGTATTCTGTGAGAGTGTGGTCCGTCCCCGATCGAGTAGACCATTCGTGCTACAACACATTGGCTCTACCACGTGTCAAATGGTAGGATTCTTTTACTACCAAGAAGTCTGTTGGTTCAGTTTGGACACTTACCTATTTCTGCCGCCAAATATATTGGTGTACCCATGTGAAGTGTTTAGAGAGTTACGAGGGACGTTCAATGTATTCTCGGTATTATCTTTATTCTAACATACCCATGCCGAGAACACATTGAACGCACCTCGCAGTACAACAATTACAGATTGTAAGCCATTCCATCTTATTGCTCAGAGGTGACAATGCATATTACGTAGTCTGCTTTGTTTGAGGTTGTCTGGTGTAGATGTCCATGGATAGCTCCTGCGATACCATCAGGTGGATTGAAAGGTAGTTTGACTTAACGTAATGTAAGAACATGCACACATGTATACATAATATGCATCTAAAATTAATTGTAACCAACATGGTTTTAGGTGTATATGTGTGCGTCCAATAAACTTTTACAGGTTGTTTAAGAAATAATAAGAAAGATGAGGGTGAAGTGCGTGTCAAGAAGTTGAGCATGTTTCTCACATCACTTAGCTATATTTCTTTGTTGGAACTAAGATTACATCTAAATCTTTAGGGGCAAAGTCCATCCATGGCTTTTTTGTTTGAGCTATAGTGTAACCACTTACCATCAGGTGGATAGTTAGAACATTTACTCTCTAATAATACTGGTTGAATTGTTGGTTGGTTGAATGAAATTGTTAATTGCAATTTTAGGTACTGATTTATCACGTGCTAGCCGGTGAAGGAAAACATCGTGAGGAAACCTGCATGTCTAGAAATAAGAAAAAAAAAATATTTCGAAGACATGTGAAGTTCGCCAACACGCACTGGGGCAGCGCGGCGGATATTTCCTTGGCCTAAAAACCCTTTTAGAAATGAGAGGGGGCCTGTGCCCAGCAGTGGGAGTGTATATAGGCTGTAACTTTAATTTAACTTTAATACTGGTTCATTCCGTCTCTTGGATTTGTAGGTCTGAGGGTAGTCAGTGAAACATGTAAACTTCTTTTACCGTTACCATTACCGTTACAGCATATTAAAGTCCACTGCTGAACATAGGCCTCCCCTGCAGATTGCCTCATAAGGGGATATTTGTCACAGCTTGGCAAGCGAGTTGGTCACTGCAGGTTTTTTCAGTCATTATTAGGAAAACGCTGCTGCCCACCTCCAGATTTGTTTTCCTCTATCGCCTCTTACGACACCCACGGGATGATATGAACTTCTTTTTTTTTTTAATTTTTTACTTTAATTTAAACAATTATTGTTGAGAAAAGAGAAAAAAATCTTACCTATGCCTACGGCTTGTGCATAGTCTGTGTAAAAACTATTAGCGGGACTATTTAGGAACTCGGGAGAATACACCAGGATAATCCTCTGGCATCGCTCAGATATGAGCCGGGAAACCGGAGCGTACTGTGTTGCATGACCTGGTAGCAAGTCATCTTCCGTACATAGCTGTTACGAAATATAAGATTAATTTTAATATATCATTATAGCATGAATGAGCATACTATTTTATTTAAGACATGATGTAAAATAGCAAGACCAACCAATGCGTCAAAGTTTGAGTTTAAATTACTGCTATTGCCACGCTTCATCCGTCTGCCAAGTGCCCAGAATAATAAAGACCCAAGTTTAGTGGTCTTTTATGAGCTTAGAAGAAGAAAGGCAAATATAAAAGCTGTTAATGATAGCATACTTTCACCAAAACTGAGAAAAATTTAATTTATAATTTCATAAAGCAATCATTACTTAATTAAAAAAATGGTCAAACACATACATAATTAATGGAGCAAAAAACTTCTTTGATAAATAAATAAATACAGAGATAATTCTAAAAGTGTTCAATACAGCTCAATTTAGCATTATGTTATTGTTGTAAAATGTGTTTCTAACAAGTGGTAATTTTATTTTCACAACCGACTTCAATATATATAAAATGGTAACATCATCAATGTAGACGAAGTCAATTAAATATGCATGCATTATTAAGGATAACTCAAAAAGTACTGGTCAAATCTTGATCAAATTTATATGGGACCACATGAGAAGTACCAGTTGTCAAATAAAAAAAGAATCATTAAAATCGGTTCACCTAAAAAAAGTTCCGAGGTTATACACATAAAAAATACAATCTAATCGAGACCTCCTCCTTTATTGAAGTTGGTTAAAAATCAATGATTGGTAAAGGCTTTTCTGAATTTTAGGTACAAATACCTCAGAAAACCCAAACTAAAAATAAATACCTTCAAGCCATCTGCTCTCATCCGCCTTAGTAGTTCATCCACAAACTCCTTATCCTCTCGTGCGTAGAGTACGTAGGCATGATAAAATTGTGGTTCACCACTCAACTTGTCGTCATAAGTGATAAGTCTGTCATCCTCTGGAGCCTCTAAAGATGGGTTTCCGTGATTTTCATTTGGCCTTGCTAGAAAAATAGACTCACTCAAATTTTTTGTAGTTATAACTTAACCTCGGTAATTTGACCTCATTGGTGTAGTGTAGTGACTGTTGATCGTCTGACCATGTAGTAGCATTTGTCCTAGATTTGAATCCCAGATCAGGCCAACATAAGCTATTGGGATTTTCTGTCAAGAAATTCTCAGTAGCGGTCCACTTTCAAGAACATGGAGGTGTTCCACCCCCATGCCTAGTTTCCTAGGCACGTAAAGCAATCTGCTTAATTTTTCTTTGGTCAAGTGGGATTGTCATTACATCGAACTATGTATGCCACATGAAAGTGAGAGAAAAGAGAATGCATCTGTGCTTGTGTTTGTACACAAGCACACTTACACTCTTACACTATAATCATGTTTTGTGGCCAAATATTGGTATGGAAGACATTTAATTTTAAAAAGCGCCAGTAGCAATGTACTGACACTATGAGACATTATAGGCAACAGTTGATTTTTGCCATTAGGATAAAAAACATCTTTTATGCCATTGGGGATCAAATCCCAATTGTACACTTACTACAATCTTTACAGCGTGGATTAAGCCCCTGATCTACCACTGCTCTAGAACCAGTATTAAAGACTAGAATAGAATAAAATAATTTTTTATTCAATATAGAACCCATGTGTAATTCTTATTGATAATCATTTTTTTAAACTACACTAAATAAAAAACATGTCATTTTGCTTTTTCACACTAGTATGCAAATCATATTAGTGTTTTAAGGGTGTAATGAAAGCAGATTGGAAATTCACAAAAGCACAAACGGTTGTGCAATTAACTGAGACTAACATTGTGTATGATAAACACTACATTTATATGTGAAAAACTATTAAATGTACTTAGATACAAACAATTATTGATTGAAAATGACACAGTGCACATTAACCATACACAGCTAATTCAAACAGTATTCTTTCAAATGAAACAAACTGAAAAGGAGTGAGTGCACAAACACTCTTAACATTTTTTTATTTGTAATATTGAAGTGACTAATGAACTTGGACTGTCCACTGATATTTATTTTTGCAGCCCATTGACACCTGCAATCAACTGAAACAAAGGTCACAGATGCGCTGCCACCTCTGAGGACCAATAAAAATGTCCCACAGCCTGCAATTATACAGTCTGTCTTTACTCTACAGAATGTTCTCCTACCTATTAGCTTTCCTTGTCTATAAAGTTCAATACAGTCGTCATATATGTCATATCTATCCAAATGTTGAAGGAACTGCATAAGATAGCCAACTTTGGCAGTGTTTTGATTTAGCTTCATCCATATTTCTAAGACTTTGGCAGTTTTATCAGGGTATTCATTGATACTGGTTGCTATTTCTGTTGATATATTCACTAAAGATGCAAGTCCTCGCCAATCCCTGAAAATATTAGTTCAATTAATGATGATAATTGACCGTGTAGTGGCAGTGTAAGGATATCTACTACCCCATATCATCCTGTGGGTATCGTAATAGGCGACAGAGGGAAACAAACTAGAGGAGATAGGCAGCAGCGTATTCCTAATAACAACTAAAAATAATGCAAATATGGGGAACATTAACATAACTGTACGGTAACGATAATGATGATAATACTCATCCCTTTCCACAACTACACATAACACGATTCCAACCACTGGTCATTCTAAAAGATATCATCAACTATTAAAGAGATGGAGGATGTGGGAGTGAATGGTTGGCAAAAGATGTAATTTTACAACAACGTCAGCAAGAAGTTTAATAAGTGGTAAAATTAAAAATTTTGTACAACAAACTTCAATATAAATAAAATGAGAACATCATCAATGTACCTAGTTGAAGTCAAAAATTACATACAGTAAAAGCTCCTTATTCGCGCTTCCTTCATTCGTGTTATCACTATTCGCGGATTAAAAAAATGCGACCAAATTCCTATATTCGCGGTTAAAGATTTTTTTATTCGTGGATCTAACCGGTACATACATATTAATAAAAAGGAAAAAAAATCTTTGTTACCGCTTAAAGTAAAATAGAAATGCTGGACCATTTATGCCTTGGAGAGTCGTTTGCATCCATATCACACTCATTCAATGTCAACGAATCAACTGTACAATTGATAAAAAATCTGAAGATAAAATAAGGTTGTCTGTAGCTTCAACTTCGCTGTCAGCAAAAATTGTACATGATCCAGCAATAGAAAAAATGGAAGTGGCGTTGTCATTATGGATCGAAGTCCGTAACCAATAAAGGGTGACCCTTTCTGGTTCAATGGTCCAGGAGAAGGCAAAGCATCTTTACGCACATTTTAAAGAACCTGATGGTAGTTGTGGTGTGGAATGTACAGTTGAAGAATTTCCAGCATCGGAAGGTTGGTTCAATAAATTTAAGGTGAGACAATCATTACACAGCATTAAAATCATTGGAGAAGCTGCGTCTGCAGACACTGCTGCAGCAGAAAGATATCCAGAATAATTTGCAAACCTAGTAGCTGATGGAGAATACAAACCTGAGAAAGTATTTAATGCAGACGAAACTGCACTGTTTTGGAATAGAATGCCAAACAAAACGTTTATTTCTAGTGGCGAAAAATCTTCTTGGATTTAAGGCAGCAAATGGTCAAAAACTTCAATTAAATTGATTTTTTACATATTTGTTTTTTATTTTGTCACCTAGGAACGTATCCCCTATAATCCCATATTCACGGTTTCTGTATTCGCGGCATATTTACGGAACATATACCCCGCGGATAAAGAGCTTTCACTGTATAAAGTATAAACAACAACCAATACAATACAAGGGAATATTTCTTTAATAAACAAGTTTACACTTGGATGTATCAAATAATAAAAATTATTATAATTACCTGGGCAATTTCTCTGGAGTATCACTTGGCAATATTTTTCTCGTGTTTAGTAAGTATGATAACAAATTACGAGATTCGTTTGTAAGCCAAGATAATGGAATGTCCAATAGGTTTATATCATTATCCATGTTGGACTACCTTACTGTTAGTCTAATAATTTTTTGGTAAATTTATCATCACTTTCATTTCTCAGAAATAGCAGGCAAATAAACTATTATTTACTTTTTGTATGTATGTACCTCACAGAACAATAATACCCTTAGGATGTACCACAAATTATAAAGTTGTATGTACAAGATGTACCTAATACCTAATAGGAGTGGGCGATACAAATCGTATATAGATACAATATCTATATATCAGCACAATATCCAATATCTATATATCGGACGACAAACTAACTATGTATTAGATATTACGATTTTACGATACCGTGTTGATATGAGTCATCGCAGAATATCTAATATCTACTCAAAAACGAAACGTAAAATATCTAAATATATACATTGATTCGGATACCGAAAAAACCTCCTTAGAATATATAGCTAAAACAGATATTACGACTACATTACAACGAAAAGGTGATACGCTTATGCTTAATATTATTAATATTAATCCTTATTATTAGTGTCATACGATTTATTACAGAACACATCATTTCTAATATCCAGTCTAAGTAGTATTGCACTGATTTCAAAATAAACGATTATAGATCTTATTATGTATATAATAGGATGTTATTTTTAAACCAATTAATTTTAAATATTTGTAACACGACCTTTGGGGCTTCAAAAATTGAAGTACCTATTTGTTCAAATTTGATTTTTGTGTTCTATTTTTAAATTTTATTTTTTGTTTCGTTCACGTGCATTGCGTCGCGTAATTTGAATGCGGATGACATATTTTATGTAATTTCTCTGCTCACTTTCGTTTCTAATTCGGTTTCGAAATTTAAATTTTATTTTGATAATTTTTTCGTATTGTGTATAGGTATAATAAACAGTTCAAACTTAAGAAACCATATTATGGTTTCTTAAGTTTGAACTGTTTTTGTGTATTAAAAGTTTAAAAGTAGTGTAACATAAAATATTATATAGATGCATAGATATTAGGTAGATAGTGTACATTTCTTTTAACAAATTAATTCTAGTTTAGTGGTTGACATTGTGTAGAACTAATTAAACATATTATAACAATATGTCTCGTAGCATAATATGGAACTATTTTGAGAAATATGACATAGTCGATAAAAAGGCCAAATGTTGCATTTGTTGCGATATTTATAGTTACAAAAGCTCAACAGGCAACCTTAAGGCGCATTTAAAAAAAACACTTAGATGCTTTTACGAAAGTAAGTACAGCCCAACGAGAAGCGAAAACATGTCAGCAACAAAGACATAATATAACATGATAATTTTCAACTACAAGTGTGGCATAAAATATAAAAGTTTAATTTTATAGCAAATAAATGTTACAATCCTTATTTTTAGATATATAGAGCCTAAATTTAAGTGTAATAAATTAAAACATTATATTTGGAGTAAGTAAAAAAAATACTTTGCAAACACGCCATCTACTCCATTAAGTGATTTTATCGAACAAAAATGGATTAACTCCATAGACTAATATAATGATTAACTCTCACGGTGGTACGCATTATAGACGTTAGATGGTATAAACACGACACGATTTAATTTAATATTCTATTTCATCTATCTCGCAAACTAAATCTTATTGATATATATTATATGTCACTTTTTATATTATGACATACTTTAAGAATACTTAGATTACATAAATAATACCATTTATTTATAAATCTATATAGCCGTGTAGTGGCGGTCAAGAATATCCACTACCCCATATCCTCCCGTGGGTGTCGTAAAAGGCGACAAAGGGAAACAGCCAGGAGATGGGCAGCAGCATCTTCCTGATAATAGCCAAATGACAATAAAAAAACTGCGGTTGCCAACCCGCTCGCCAAGCGTGGCAACTATGGCAAATACCCCCCAATAATGAGAGCAACAAAAAAACGGCCCCCAGTCCCCGGCGGCCCCGCTATTCCTGGCTACGGTGGCGACCATGGTAACGGCGGGGCAGGGGGTGCTAAGAATCTCCGGTGGAGGTTCGGTTGCCACCTTAGACGACTCGACCTGGCAACGTACAACGCACGCACCCTGAGGACTGACGTGAAGATCGTGGAGCTGGAAGAAGAGATAGACAAGTTGCGCTGGCATATTATAGGATTATCTGAAGTCCGAAGAGAGGGGGAGGACACGGTAATCCTCGAATCCGGCAACTTGCTCTATCACCGGGAGGGCGACCATCTGTCCCAAGGAGGTGTCGGATTTATCGTCCACAAGTCTCTCGTTAACAACGTTGTAAAAATCGGGAGTGTGTCGACGAGGGTTGCGTACCTTATACTCAGAATCACCAAACGGTATTCGCTGAAGGTCATACAGGTTTACGCACCAACCTCGGCACACCCCGATGAGGAGGTGGAGGAAATGTATGAGGATATCTCTAGAGCCATGCATTCCTCCAAAACCCAATATACGGTGTTAATGGGAGACTTCAATGCAAAACTAGGCACAAGAGAGAACGGTGAGCTGAAAGTAGGGAAATTTGGAATAGGGCAACGGAACCCAAGGGGCCAGCAGCTGGCCGACTTCATGGAGAAAGAGGGACTCTTTATGATGAACTCTTTCTTGCAGAAGCGGCCCCACAGGAAGTGGACCTGGTCGAGCCCCGACGGTTCCACAAAAAATGAGATTGACTTCATTATGACGACCAGACGACAACTGTTCAGTGATGTCTCCGTGATCGCGAGGGTGAAAACTGGTAGCGATCACCGAATGGTTAGAGGCACACTGAACCTAAACGTTAAGTTGGAGAGGTCTCGTCTAATGAAGTCAACGCTCCGTCCCTCTCGTGCTCTGTTCCAAAGTCCCGAAACCTTTCAGCTCGAGTTACAAAACCATTTTCAGTGCCTAGAAGACTGCAATGAAGTGGACGATATGAATGACAAGCTCGTGGAAACTGTCCATGCGGTTGGAGCTAAGTTCTGCAAGACCCGCCGCAGAAGAACACAAAAACTCTCCGATCACACTCTTAATCTCATGGCTGTTAGACGGGAGATGAAGCTACATTCTTCAACAGACTTGACAGCATACAGGCATCTGAACAGACAGATCTCCAAATGCATGCGGCGGGACTTACGCAACTTCAATACAGCTCGTATTGAAGAAGCGATCGAGCGGAACCAAGGCTCCAAAGTCTTTGCCAGAGATCTGTCTGCCAGAAAGAGCCAACTGTCAAAGCTGAAGACAGAGTGTGGCAGCATCGTTTCCGGGACACCTGAGATTTTGAGTGAGATTGAGAGGTTCTATGGGCAGCTGTACACATCATCGTTGGAGCCACACGCAAGTGTGAGTAACGATCCAAGAGCGAGTCTCATCCGACACTATTCCGAAGATATCCCGGATGTCAGTCTGAGCGAGATTAGGATGGCTCTCCAGCACCTTAAAAACGGTAAGGCCCCAGGCGAGGATGGAATTACAGCGGAGCTTCTGAAAGCGGGTGGAAGACCGGTACTTGAAGTCCTTCAGAAGCTCTTTAATTCCGTCCTCCATGGTGGCATTACACCGGAGGCGTGGAGCAGAAGTGCGGTGGTCTTGTTCTTCAAGAAAGGTGACAACGCTCTCTTGAAGAACTACAGACCGATTTCCCTTCTGAGCCGCGTCTACTTGCTGTTTTCGAGAGTCATTACGAATCGTCTCGCGCGCAGACTTGACGACTTCCAGCCTCCCGAACAAGCCGGTTTCCGAAAGGGCTTTAGCACCATAGACCACATACATACCCTTCGGCAAGTTGTACAGAAGTCCGAAGAGTACAATTTGCCACTATGTCTGGCGTATGTGGACTATGAGAAAGCCTTTGATTCCGTCGAAATTTGGGCGGTGCTGCAGTCCCTTCAGCGGTGCCAAGTTGACTGTCGGTATATCGAAGTGTTGAAGTGCTTGTACAGTAGGGCTACGATGGCTATCCGAGTACAGAACCAGAGTACGAAACCTATCCAATTGCAGAGAGGTGTAAGACAGGGTGACGTCATATCCCCGAAACTCTTCACCGCTGCATTGGAAGACGTTTTCAAGCTTCTGGACTGGAAAGGATACGGTATCAACATCAATGGCGAGTACATCACTCACCTTCGATTTGCCGACGATATAGTCCTTATGGCAGAATCGCTGGAGGACCTAAGCACTATGCTCAATGACCTCAATAGTGTTTCCCAACGGATAGGTCTTAAGATGAACATGGACAAAACTAAGATCATGTTTAATGTCCATGTCACACCTATGCCGATAGTTGTTGGGAACACTAAGCTCGAAGTTGTTGACGAGTATGTTTACCTGGGACAAATAGTCCGACTGGGTAAGTCCAACTTCGACCGAGAGGTCAATCGACGGATTCAACTCGGCTGGGCAGCGTTCGGGAAGCTACGACACATCTTCTCGTCAGACATACCTCAAAACCTTAAAACGAAATTGTACAACCAGTGCGTGTTGCCAGTGATGACTTACGGAACTGAGACGTGGTCCTTCACTGCTGGCCGTATGAGGAAGCTCAAGGTCGCTCAGCGAGCTATGGAGAGGGCTATGCTCGGAGTTTCTCTGCGTGATAAACTTAGGAATGAGGATATCCGCAGTAGAACCAGAGTGACCGACATAGCCCAACGGATTAGTAAGCTGAAGTGGCAGTGGGCCGGCCATATAGCTCGAAGAACCGACAACCGATGGGGAAGAAAGGTTCTCGAGTGGCAGCCTCGTACCGGTAGGCGAAGTGTAGGGCGTCCCCCCACGAGATGGAGTGACGACCTGGTAAGACATGCAGGAAGTCGATGGATGCAGGTGGCTCAGGACCGTGTTTTGTGGCATTCTTTGGGGGAGGCCTATGTTCAGCAGTGGACTTGTGAAGGGCTGTAATGATAATGATAATGATGATATGGAAATTCGTTCATAAATCGCGTATCACCATGTGATACTGCGTACTGACATCTATTCAGAACGAAGATATCAACAAATATATAGATATTGAAATATATAGATACAAAATCGGATATTCATAT